TTTGATATGAAGTGCCATTTAAAAAAATAATTGTTATCAGCGTGCCAACGATCGAGAATTATCAACGGGGGGGGGGTTGAGGAGCTTGACGCTCGTCAACTATCAGCAGGAGGGCGCGGAAGCCTCGCTGCGGGGAAGCAGTGTGTGGACCTGTCAGCGCAACTTACATGATGCCGAATTTAACAAACACATTTAAATAATTGGTTTAAACGGCATAATAATAAGGACGATCGTCCGTTCTGTGATTCTCCAGAGCACACATGTTATGATATTAGGGTCATGCAGAGTGAGATGAGATCGCTGTCCCTTTAAGAGAGAGAGAGAGAGCGAGGGAGAGAGAGAGGGGTGTGGCTTGTGCATGTGTGGATGGTAGAGCGACAGTGAGGGAACGAGTGTATGTTTCTGGAAGTGAAACGAGGCAGCAGAAAAACAGAGGTCTGTGATGTATTTTGTGAAACAGAAGAACAGCTAAATAAATGCAACGGCCTCCCAAGAAGAGCTCGCCTTTCTCCAGTCATTTAAGCTAAAGTGGGTTATTGAACCTGAAGCTTGTTGCTTCTGCCCTACTCAACTACGGTCTGGGAGCCGACAGGAAAGTTCAACACACAGATGGCCAGTCCGCCCCTTTGTAGCATGTTATTTCGATGAGAGATGAGCAGAAGATCGCCACTGGGCTTTCAACTAAATACACAGCCACGCAAAAACTGCAGCATTTGTACACCTCCTTATGGGTACTGCAATTAGTGAAGTGCTTTCCTCCGTGGTGAAACTATCAGCACGTTGCGTGCATGGCTTCCTTCTGCAGGTAACGGGGAGACGCGCTCTGGCGGCGGTCTCGGTCAGGGTCCAAACATACAATTTAGATAATTTTGCACACTTATTCCACTTATTCCTAGTGTGCCACTGGTTACGGTACCGCGTGCCAATGCTGGCACGCGTGCCAGGGGTTGCCGACCCCTGGTCTAGCACATAACATAACCCTTCGCAAAACCACAAATTGTACTTCTGACACTTTAACTCTATTTTTATGGCATATGATAGCTTTTGTACGATTTAACAAACAAGATGTATTGTGTTAACTAGTGAGCTTCTTGATTTTGATACAGATTAGCTACAGTGCTTCCAGTCTTTATGCTAAGCTAAGCTATTGGCCTCCATAGGTAGTCATTGTCATCACAGAGTATTGGTGATCTTACACGTTTTAGCAAAGCTAAGCAACTAAAGCTACCAAAATGTGGAAAACCTGCCAGTGAGTTGGTCTGTGTCAGTGTGTATGTGCATGTGTGTTTTTACCTGAACTTCCCGAGCATGGTAGGCTATGATGAGGCCCAGCAGTATGACCGTGGATAGGCTGATCAGACACTTCAAGGCCAGAGAATACATGGAGCTCTGTAGAGAAAAATAACATATACCTAATCAGAAACATGCAGCACAAATAAAATAAACATTTAAGTTTCATTTTGACACAATGATTGTTTTAATATTGAGAGTAAAATGACAGAAAACATCTGTGAACCCACATTCATGATAGTCCACATTTTGTAGAGCTCAATCTGGAGCAAGTCCCAGATGTCAGACCGTGTCTTCTGTCACTACTCTGCTCAAATGGCATGTGTCAGCCTCAGCATAGCCAACAGGATGTAACATTTACAAAAGAGACTTTCAAACGCTAAGCAGAAGTAGAATGGGAGTATTTCACCCGTCAATATCACTGCAGCCGAGGTTTCAATCCTCTGCTTGTCTGGTTTCATAGGGCTGCTAACCCATGCACTGGGGAACGTTCAATCAATACAACTCATAGCACTTCAGCGGCTTCTTTAACCCCCTCACCTCACACACTCAGAGCGCAGCAACGAGTTATCATACGAAAGTGCGTACACACATATACTAAAACACATCTGCGCATCAGCACATTTACACTGGAAACATACAAGTGAAGACACTACATCTACATTACATGATAAAACGAGAAGAGAATAATGTGTGTTCGTTTTTTGATTTTTTAATAGGTCTTTGTGTTAATTTAGATTTATATTTTAATTGGTGAGAGCATGCTAGTTTGATTGTGAGCCAAATGTGTTTTGGGAATAAATGAATGATTTCAGGAACTATAAATGAAAGACAAATAGAAAACACGCATTTTAGCTTTACACAGCTTTCTTTTTATTTATTTTAGTGACCATGGGTTATGTGAATTAATGACATCTGAAATGTTCATGCGTTCTGGTGGAGGACATGTCACTCCATTTTACCATCTGTTATTCCTTGCTTCCACCTCATCCGTAATTGTCATGCATCAGGAAACCTTGTTAGCCGTGCTAATGGCATGGCTCCCGAGGGATGTAAATGTCAGTCTGTTTAAGGCTCTGTATGTTGGTTCACCACTTTGACTAGTGGTGAACTACTATGGTTTGGATTGTCTTGAAGTTCTCTACATTTGAAAATATATACCCCTGATTTGGATAAAAACAATCCTAAACAATTGTAAAAGCCTTCCTAAACAAAGGTAGTTCATCAGACAGCAGATCACTGTTGTCTTTGCCTACAATATTCAAACAGGGGTAAAGTGCTAATTGTTGGGTACTATTTTTAGAAATATGCTCTACATAATGCCAATTAAAATGCCGAGCGTCTGATGAGTATCTCTAGCAGGACGATGTTTGAAAAAAACCCTACACAACATTATTATGTAGTAGTCTGTAGTTTTGGCTAAAAATGGAGTTACAAAGCACAGCGGAGTTTATCTATAATATAAATAAGAATGAATAGAAGGTGTGTGTATTTTATTGTAGTTCAACAGATTATAATTTCTAATTGAGCATTTAAGTGTTAATATTCAGTTTCAAAGCTTGTGCAGCCTGATCATTTTTTTCAAGCATAAAAATAAAAGGCATTCATTGGGTTTCTATAAACCACAATAGCTTAATTGATTCAGTGGTCTACACTAGATCAAGGACTATGTCTTGAACTGCAGAATATAAAAGGCAAAAAACAAAGTGAATTCATTCTCGACATCACCAGGGTCACGTGACGAACACCAAAGCCTGCTGTATTCTTCAAGAGAATAGTTGAGCCCCATAAAGACCGCAGCATTTCAGATCAGTTATTCCTGCTGTTAAGCATTCATGACCAAACACACTCCTAATCTAAGTGTACACTCGTGGGTTTTTATATAGTACTCAGCCTTTCCTTCATGACATTATTAGGTAGAATCTACATTGCATTTTGGGTTCATGAATATATATTGCAAGTCAGCCTTCTGGAAAATGGAGTGTGTTAGTGTGTTACTGAGTCTACGAGGGCCTGCAGATGCTTGATGGCCTTAATGGTAATAATGATATGATCTTTACACACAAATGCACAGTCTAGCTTGTAAATCCTCACACCCTCAGTTTATTAATCCTTTTCCTCTTCACTATCAACATATGAGAGGATTGAAAATGAAACAGGGAACCCTTTCTACCATTTAAACACATCACACACACACACACACACACACATACACACACGGTGGTTAAGGGCCACTTCACACCACAGGGAAAATGCCATCTATCTTTGGCTATCAACCGATTTCTGTTATCTGCTTGCCCAATAATCGAACCGTTTTTATATTCTTTATTTGCTCAAACTCTGCCTGTCTTGGTCCGTCTCTCTTTTGCTAACATCTCATTTGTAATTACTGAAGCGAACTAGGTACAAAAGGAAGCCAACATTGTTGTGGTAATGAGAACAATTCAGACTTGTTTCTGTTTGAACCCAGTCACACTGGTGAGCTGAAATGTGATTTGTTTAGAGTTTACTTCCTCACTCTGTCTCACCTCTCTCACTGCGTCTACCGCCAGCCGTCTGTTGCCCGCTCAGCTTTTTTCAGTTCTGCCCACACTGTCATTTAGTTTCTGCCTGTTTCTACTTCCATTACTCTGCCAGCCTATATGTTGAATGACATAACTGGGACGGAGACGTTTGTGCATACATGCTCACCTTCTGTTTATTTAGGCTTTGTTTACACCATGACCACTGATTCTCTATTCTAGTTGGTCGGCAGGATAGTTTCTGGTTACTAAACACATCTAATGCAGCTGTCATTCTTAAACAATGCACCTGATTTAAACCTTAGATAAGGTCAGCAGCTAGGTTTTAGGTTTTGTTAATCCTCCCATCACTGCAGATGTGCATGTTGACAGCTGATGCACACCAGTTCTACATACTGTGGTCCATGGCACTGGAGAACAATTACAAATATATCCCTTTTTTTTGGGATTAGAGTATGTTTTGACGTGATACCCATTCTAGATAATCTCAATGATACCTTTATTTGAAGTGCAAAAGCTCAGAGAAATCAAACCATATCTGCTTTTTCATGAAGTAAAATGAACGTTCTATGTAAAATAACTAATGAAAACAAGCCTTCAGTTAAGTTGGAGATGGAGCATACAGGCAATTATCAAAGCTCAGCTACAGTTAATCAAAAGTCATAGAAATACAAATTCACCTACCAACGCCGGCCATGTTTACCAATTAATTACAAGTTATGGTTTCACAAGGGGGGTTTTGGGTGCAGTGATTTATTTTCTTAAAAGGCACAAGATGTGTTTTTTATGCAAAGTTACATGAAATAAATAGTTCTTCAGGATAGTCAGAAGTTGGTAACCAGCATATTTGTAAAAAATCAACAATGACTGAATTGTGTTGTGCATGTTGGCTCACTGTCACACTGCCAAGGCGACTGTCAGGCAACTGTGACACTTGTAAAGAACAGAGCCATAATTAATGTCATTAATAAAACCTGTGTTTTTCCCAGTACGACAAGTCAAAAGGCCTGATGTGAAAAGGCAAACAGGAAAACTGTTGTTCATTAAGAGACAGCATGACAACTTCCAAAATGCAATTCTCTTAAATCAGTTTGATATTTGTTTGATTCTGGAAATTCAAAGGGAACAAACAGAAGAGGAAAAGAGAAGTCTTTTGAATCAATGTAAAATTAAAGTTGTACCAATCGTTTACAATATCAGATATAATAATGTTCACATGTGAGTGTGTGTTCAGCTGTGCATAAGTGTGCCATTAGTGTTTATTGATCAATGCCTTGTAGATAATGAGCTTTTTGAGCTGCTTTAGTTCAATCAGCAGTCAGACATTCTGAACAAGTAGTATCTAGATGAGGGTTTTCCTCAATTGTCCCTCACACTTATTGACACAGATGTGAGAGCAAATACACGTTACAGTCATACACACTACGCAGGTGCATCCATGAGAACTAATATGACGCGTATAGTGACGTGAGTGTTTATGGTTACCGATGGATGACGCTAACACCCAGGTCTAACAACACACTCATAGAGAGAGGTAGCCTAGCCTGTTACACTAAAAGACATGAGCACATTTTGTACCTGTTAGTAGCAAGACCTGTGGGATCTACCGTCCCTTAGAAGTCCCTGATCTAAAGATGAAGGGAATGTGGAGAGGAGGAAAAGAGAGGAGGAGGTAGAAGAAGAGGCAGAAGGGAGGAGGGGGAGTGACGTGCAGAAGTGCTGAGATGGCTCCTTGAGATAATACGGTGATAGTTGGTGAGTTTAATTCCCTGGTGATCCTACCGTCTGAAAAGCATCAAGCAGCCGCTGTTAATGGCCTCACAAAGATGTAGGTCTAAAAGGTCTCCCAGTAAATATCTTGAGGAAATGTCATAAATATGGAAGCGAGGGGTGTGAGGAAGAGACGCTGGAAGTGCAGGGGGAATGTGGGAGATGGTGTAAGCCCGCTGAGATGGCAATGACGCTCTTGGGGGAACAAAGACATATTTAAGACTCGCCAGGGGAGGAACATAAACACTCTTCGTAAGTGAGAAGAAGGAGGGAAAGGGAGAATGGAAGCGAGCACTGCTACAGATCTGCGAAATCATCAATGCTTGTGGTGAGAAGTTTGCACATGCTCACACACACACACACACACACACACACACACACACACACACACACACACACACACACACACACACACACACACACAACTCCCATCCTGTACATCGAGGTGTTGAGTGTGAGTAGTGACGGCATGACAGGTGAAGTAGGCAGCAGCTGTGTGTTCCCTCAGAATAGAGCCTGAACCGTGTTGTGGAGCCCCCGGGGAGCCACATGGGCCTTTGT